GCAGTGTCACTGGCCCTCATATGTGGGATCCGAACCGGGGCCCTCTGGCATCCCAAGCGAGTTCTTAACCATCGCGCCACTCGGCCGGCCCTAAGTTGATTTTTTTAAAAGGATTTTTATCGGGGATTTGGGGAAGGGGAACAGCCAAGTTGTTGTCCTTCAGTCTTAGTTGTGGAGGGCACAGCTAGCTCAGCTCCAAGTCCAGTCTCCATCTGGCCGCCTGGCAACAGCTCGCAGCCGCTCAGTTCAAGGTGCCGTGTTCAATCTTTTTAATTTTATTTTTATTTTTTATTTTTTTTAAAATTTTTTTCGTGTTCAATCTTAGATGCAGGGGCCAGGTGGGTGGTGATGTAGCCATCATCCCATGCGGGAGTCAAACCGGCAACCTTGTTCTTAGGAGCACGTGCTCTCACCTGCTGAGCCATCCTGCCACCTGTTGGCAGGCAGCTCAGGAGTTCAGCTCAGATGCAGCTCACTGGCCCATGTGGGAATGGAACCGGCGATCCTGTTGCTCAGAGCTCGTGCTCTTATTAAGTTGATTTTTAAGTCAACTTTTTTTGTTTGTTTCACAAATGTCCAGATGTTTTCCCACTGTTTTTGTTGAGAAGACTACTTCCTCCGTTGACCACAGATAGGCGTGGGGCCTTTGTCAGAAGTCGGCTGGCCATGCTTGTGGGGGCTGGTTTCTGGCCTCAGCTCTGTCCCATTGGTCTGTGTGTCTGTCACTTTGTGACACTGCTGGCGTGATGGCTGCAGCTGCAGGATAACCTCAGAACCAGGCAGCTTGAGTTCTCCGCTTCATTCTTCTTTTTCAGGATATTTGCCTTTTCCTAGATGTAATTTTTCCAACTAAGCAATTCTCCATTTCTGAGTGGACGCAGACCGGTGTCCTACAGTCTAACTCAGCCCCGACACCCCACCTGGACACAGGTTAAGGGCTCAGTCCCACAGGACCTCCCCACAGGACCTTGAGTGCCAGTCGCGATTCCATGTCATCGTCACCTGGGCCTCTGACCCACTGGCTGTAGGTCGGAGGTGTCCAGGACGCCTCCTTGGGTCTGATTAACTTACTAGAGCGGCTCCCAGAACTCGGGGACGTGGCCTTCCTTTTACCCCCTTGTTACGACAGAGGACGGATGTGCCAAAGAGTGCAGTGAACAGAAGATGGAGATGTGCGGGGAGGGGCCTGGAGCTCCTGTCCCGTGTGCCACCCCTGGCATGTGGGTGTGTTCACTGTCCTAGAAGAGCGTCACCTCTTGGTGTGCAAGTGTTTTTACAGAATTTAATCTGCGGCCCCTTCCCCTCCTGGGGTCAGTGGCTGGGGATGAAATGTCCTGACCTCTGATCACTTGGTCTTTCTGGTGACCGGCCCCATCCTGAGGGCATCCAGGGGCCCACCTCAGACACCTCAGTAGGAGCCCCTCAGGAACGACAGAGGACACTGCTATCACTCAGGAAATTCCTAGGGTCTCTGGAGCTCTGTGCCAGGAGGTGGGGACAAAGTCCAGTGCTCCTTGTACTACACCCTTCGGGGCACATTTTAGTCAGAGAACCCAGCTGGGATGTGACAGGAAGTGGGTGACACCCAAGGGCCAGTCTGGGGCGAGCTGGCACCTTGCCGGCGCTGAGGCCTCCCACCCATGGACGTGCTTTTCCCCGTTGGTTGAAATCGTCTTTGCCTTTTGTCATTAGCTGTCATTTTCAGCATCTGTTGGAGCGATTATAAATGTATTGTGTTTTTGGTTTTGGTTTCTGTTTGTTCATTGCAAACATGTAGGAAATATTTTGATTCTGTCTCATTTCAGTCAGTTGGGTAGTTAGGGATATTTGAGGAGTTGATCCGTTTCATCTTAACCGTCAAGTTTTTGTCTTTAGGGTTCTTCGATGGTATTCTTTATGGCTCTTTTATTAGTGTCCGTGCACCTGCAGTAATATTCCCTCTCATTTCTGATAGCAGTAATTTGGGTCACTTTCCCTTTTAAAAATTTGTCTTGCTAGAGGTTTATCCAGTTTATTGAGTTTTTCAAAGAGCCAGCTTTTGGTTTGTTTCATTTTCTCTGTTGTTTTTCTGTTTTCAACTTTATTCATTTCAGCTCTTTATTATTTCTTTCTTCTGCTTGCTTTGGGTTTATTTTGCTCTCTTTTTTGCTAGTTTCTTACGGCGAGGGCTGAGGTTTTGTTTTGAGACTTGGCTTTTCTGATCTAGGCGTACGGTGCTGTGAACGTCCCTCACGCTTGAGCTGCGTCACACAGGTTTTATGTGTATTTATTTTCGTTCATGTCAGTGTGTGTCATTTCCCTGAGATTTCCTCCGTGATCCCGGATTGTTTACAGGTGTGGGGCCACTGCGTCTGCGTGGGGCCAGCATGGAGGACAAGCCAGGCACCGTGCACGGTCACCTGCCTGGCCCCAGGGGCTTCCGTGTAATGGGTCATCTCCATTCCACCTTCCGACCTGCGCGGGCTCCTCCCTCGTGCAGCTGTCACACTGCAGGTCAGCGGTGGACCTGGGAAGAAAGCTCTGGTGGCTTCACCCCGACTGGCCCCTCGCGTCCATACTGGAGTGGGCTGGCCGCGGAGCCTTCTATCAGCTGTGTGACCTCTGGTGCTGTTTTATTTTTTGTAAAATGCAAGGGGTCCACCACAACACCCAGATCCTTCAGGGCCAACTGTTCTGTGACACTCATCTGAAGATATTTAACAAAACTAAGCAAGGCGACTTCTGGATGACTAAGAAGACGGTGTGCGATTGACTTTGGTCCCGGTGGCTCTCTGCTGCCTGTCTGCAGGAGCTGGGCCCTTGGCGCACAGGCGGCACCCCTCTCGCTGTCCCTCAGTGGGTCCCTGCCGGGCTGAGAGAGCTTCTCCCCTCCATCTGCAGCATCTACAGCACGATGTTAGAACTGCGTGGCTTGTGTGAAAAGATGAAATTCCACATGTTATGCATTTATCTTGCCATGCCTTTTTCTGAAAAGGCGGCTGCAAGCTCACAGGTTTTTACCTAATTCTAATCAGTCAGCATGCATGACATTTAAAATCCTACATAATTGGAACGGATTACGCTGTACTGTTTCTCTTCATTTTCTCCTTTAAAGGGACTATGACAAAGCAGTATGTGTGGTGTAGATCCATATAAACTACCAACTTTTAGCGTTTAGAATACTGGTTACTCACAGCTTCCTCTAAAGCACTCTGAGAAAGGGAACTTCATGCTCACGTCTGTCTGTATTAGACCCAGAAGCCGTAGGGTTAGGATTTCACATTGGAGTTTATTCTTGTTGCTATGTGGGTGTTAAAATATCAGAATACTGGAAAATTTGTTATCTGTCTAAAGATAAGCCTTCCTACAAATGAGAATTTAGAAGTAAGGATAATAAGCCACAGGAATTGGGAAATGAGTCATATAAACTTTGTTCTTTTTCTCTAAGATTTCATATCTCTTCCTGGCAAGATAAGGCTAGTGAGGTCTGTGAATTTTGTGAAATGCTTCATATTCCTGAACGCAAGGGCTTCTCCTTTTAAAATAAGAACTGAGCTCATTTTAAGTCTATAACCCGTACTTTTCATTACTTTTAAGCACTGTTAAGCATTTACAAGGATGTGTCCGTATCGGTACCCAAGGATGAAGCTGGTCCGTAGCTTATGGAATCTGTTCAGGTTGTTTTGTAAACGCCCTGAGGCACATTGGGATAGATTTTTAACATTTATGAGCTACATAGAATTTATGTTTGCAAAGTGCACTCTCTGTTGGTGGAAAACAGGAGAAAGCCCCAAACTCCCTGGATCCCAGAACAGCAGCATGGGCCTGCCAGGCCTCACTTGGCAACCCCTCCTTTTGGACAAAATTCTAAGAAACTGGGTTATCTGATTTTTCAGTTGGTGACACATCAGAACTAGAAGAGGGAGCGACCACATGAGAGTGAAAGAGGAGACCAAAAAAAATCTTATGAAAAGGATTAAAAAGCCCCGGCATCGTCCCCTGGCCGGGAGGGGTGGCGCCAGGCCTGAGCAGCGGCGCCCTGCGAGGGGCAGAGGGTGCCCTTGGGGACGAGCAGGGCGCGGCCCCGCCACGCAGCCCGCTCCGCGTGCACTCGGCCCCGGGCGGCCCCGGGAGAGGGCGCTGCTCGGGCCTCGGCGGCGCGTGCGCTTCCGCTGCGCGGCTTTGACCCTGAACGTGCGAAGGGCAGCTCGGCGCGCCCTCTGCCGGGCCTCTCGGTGTTGACATCCGGGCGGCAGGCAGCTCTCTGCGCTTGACCTGAGCGTGTGTAAGACGGTAAAAAAACTCGCAGCGAGAGCGTGTTCTGCCCCTCGGGGCCGTGTCGTGCGCCTGCTTTGTAAGTGAAGCCACTGGCTCGCCGCCAGGCCCTCGCGTCTCCCTCGCCCGCGGAGCTGAGCGTCCCGACACGGGCCCTGCGCCCGCGCGCCCGGAGCACCAGGACCCGGGACGGCTGCGCCCGCGCGGGGCAGGGGCGCGGGGCGGCGAGGGCCTCCGCTCTGCCCACCGGCGTGTTTTCACCGGTGTCCTCAGATCCCGCCTTGCGGGAATGCCTTAGCCAGGCGGCATGATTGTGAGCCCTTCTCTCTGTCCCGGGAGGTCAGACCCTGCGCATCCGTGGGCAGCACCCGGTCGCCTGAGCCTCGGCCTCACCCGCAGAGCTCTCCCTGTCGCAGGTGGGCCGGTCTGACCAGCAGACATTCTTGCCTTGTTCCTCATCATTTCACCATTTTAAGTATGACAGCTGTGGGCTTTTTTGTAAATGCCCTTTATCTGGTTAAGGAAGTTCCCACGTGCTCCTGTGGGGACCAGTTTTATCATGAAAAGGTGTTGGATTTTGTCAGATGCTTTTTCGCATCTGTTCAGATGATGATATAACTTCCATTCTCCGTTCTATTAGATGGTTTTTTTACCTCCATCTTTTCTCGTGCACTGAGCCAGCCTTGCATATCTGGGAAGGTCCCACTTGGCCCTGGTGTGGAACCTTTTTCTGTGATGATGAACTGTTTGCTAGCATTTTGGTGAAGATCTCTGCAAGTGTATTCATAAGGGATAGTGGTACGCCGTGTCCTTGTGATGGTCTTGGCTGGCTCGGGTATCGGCAAATGCTGGCCTTGTAGAATGAGCTGGGAGTGTTCCTTCCTTTTCCATTTTCTGGAAGAGCTTGTGAAGGGTTGGTGCTGATTCCTTAGACTTGTGGTGGATTTCACCAGCGATGCCATCTGGTCCTGGGCTTTTCTTTCAGGAGTTTATTTACTACTCTCTCAATCTCTTACTTGTTATAGATCCATTCAGATTTTCTGATTCTTCTTGAGTCAGTTCCATGGTTTGTGTCTTTCTAGGAGTTTGCCCATTTCACCTGAACTATGGAATCATCTGTGTCCTTTTGTGCTGCTTAAGTTTCTTCTCACAATTACAAGCAGCTGTGTCCTTTGATTGTCTCACAGCCCTGCCGTCACTCCGAACCAGGGAGGAGGGCTCCTTACTGAGCAGTCAGTGAGCGTTAGCTGGGAATAGGGCCTGGGCTGGGGCTGGGGCTGGGTTCCTCGGCGGGCGTCCCCTGGCCGCTCGCGGCCTCTCTGCCTGGGGAGGCTGGACGCCATTGATCTGGCAGGGAAGTCCCTTGAGCCCTTGCACCGACAGAGAAGGGACACTCAGTAGTTTGTCACTGTGGGAAATCAATTGCAGGGTGCTTGTGACAAGCTGTTCTAACTGCCCATTCACTGCTTCTAGGTTTTCACATCCCACGGCCCGACTGTGGTCATGCCCACGTGGTTCTGCTCTCGCGCATGGTTTTCTCACGTGGGCCCGTTTGACGAGGGCGGGCGGGTAAGTGTGGGTCCCCTGTGGGGTCCTCGGGGGTCGGGGGAGGCGCCCTCATTGCCAGGAGTTGGTCCCCGCACACGCCCCTGCCCGCGGTGGGCGCCATGACCCAGTTGGGGGCCCAGGGATTGGGAAGCTGCCTCCCCAGCCGTCCTCCTGCCACCCTGCTGAGCGTCCCGGAGCAGCTGGGCCAGGGCCCACATTTGTTTTGCCCAAAGCACGGGATTTGTGTGTGAAGGCTGCAGGCGCCTCGGGCACCGCACCTGACTCACACCTGCCCTGGCCCAGGCCCCAGGTTACCTCATGCTGCTTTGTGGGAAAGCTTAGGCCGTGGACGGTGTGAGAGGAACCGCTGTCCTCTGCCTGTGGGAGGCAGCTCCTGCCTGCTGTGCCCACACTGCGTCTTGCCCCTCCCCGCATCCTCACCTGCCTTGGGGCCTCACCTGCCAGCACTTGGCCTGCCCCGGTTTCAGCCTCTGGCCGAGAACCGGAAACCTGGCCGCTGACTTGCTCAGTCTATCCTCCCAGATAGTCTTCCAGTGGACGCTGCTACACCCCACTGAGAAGTAAATCTTTGGGTTAGTGTGTTGTTCCTTAATCCCCCTGAAATTGGCTTTCAGAACGTGGGGTCTGGTCTCCATGGCGGGATGGCGTGGACCAGGTGTGTTAAGGCCCATCAGGTTTTCCCCATTTGAACCTGGATTCCTGCAGCCTGCACTGCCGCGCGGGGAAGAGGGAGCCTGGACTGCAGAGGCCAGTCGAGGGCCTGGGAACAGGCGACCCCAGACCAGAGGTGGGGCAGTGACTCAGGCCCGGACTGGGCCGTCTGCCACAGGACCTTGGCTGTGGTCTTTCTGGCTCTGGGCCTCGTAACTAACTTCCTTCGAGAGGCTGCAGTTCTCACCTGTGGAGAGGAGGACATAGGACCATAGCAGCAGGTGACGTGGGGTCGGGGTGGGGGTGGGGGGGCAGGATGGCACCCAGCTGCCAGGCCAGAGAATTTGGATGTCCCCAGTAGGCAACTATTTCAGGCCCTTAAACAAGAGAAGTAACCAAAATACCCTTTTGTTGGTTCAGAACATGGCTCTGGAGGGCACGTCTGGCTACAGCAAGGATTGCCTACTCAGAAAAACTGCCACCAGTGCCATTTTCAGACTGCTGTCGTAGCTGCTGGAGAGACCCCTGGGCCTGACTTGCTTTGTGAGAGGAGTGAGGGGTGTCCCGTGCCCTGCGGGGCAGGTGTCCCAAACTCCAGTGGGAGCTGCAGTAGCTCAGACTCGCACCAGCAGCTGGTGTTGGGCCCACGCGTCCCATCCGCCTGGTCCCAGTCGGAGTCGGGGGTTTCTCAGTGTCGGTGTGTTTTTCTGGAATAATGTGGAGTGGTGCTTCATGTGCTGATTGGCTGTGTGTTGTTTTACGAAGTGTCCAGACCTTTCCCATTTTTCAGCGGGCGGCTGTCGTACCGTTGAATTGCTCTCTGTCAGGTATTTGTTGGCGGGTATTCTCCCCCATTTTTGGTGTCTGTGTTCTGGGATTTCCCCTCACTGGCACCGGTTCTGCTTATCCCAAATTCTGTCCTGAGGATGTCAGAGCAGTAAGACTGGCCTTCCATCTTTTGCCCTGGGCAGCTGCAGACGAGGCGTGCTGGTGTGTCATTGACCCTACTGAGGCTGGTGTGCACAGCCCAGCCTGGGAATACACTGGGCCCAGGGGGCTGGCAAGAAGGTGTCCGAGGGCCTGTCTTCCCTGGAGGTGACGGTCACCCGGCTCTGTTTGCACGCTGAGACCTCAGAGGCCAGCTGAGCCGCCCTCCTCCAGGGGAGGGGGACAGGCCGGGGGCACCTGGAGGCCCTGGAGAGGGGGAGGTTAGTGGCTGTGGGCTTCACTGGGAGCCGTCAGCACAGCTGCGCCTCGCCTGGAGCCGTGTGGCCTGGCGGTGTCCCCTGGCCGTCACTGGGCTCCGCTCCCTGATGCACCTTTGGTGACCTGCTGCTGAGAACGCAGAGGGTGAACGTGGTGTGGGCCCTGCACTCACCTGGCTTATGAATTTAAGAAACAGGGGGGCCGGCTCGCATCCCCAGGCAGCACTGAGGTCGGCTAGCCTCCCTGCTGACCGGCAGGGTGGCCGCAGGCCCCCACACCCCAGCTCTGGGGTGAGCCCCATCCTGGCGAGCGGAGGTTGGACTGCCCCTTCCTCGACTTGTGGAGACTGGGGGAGGGGACTGCGTTCCCACAGGCAGGAAAGCCCAGTGGGGATCCCTGCAGCTCTCTTCAGCCGCAGGGCTGTCGGCCTTTGGGGTCCAAGCTGTCGGCCGTGAGTGGGGTTGATGCTGGGGCCTCGTCCGCCCCTCTGGCCCAGCCGCCACCTGTTCTCTCCTCTAGCACCTCTTGTCCTAAAGCAACTTTGTGGGGTCGTCCGCATGCTGGGGGCAGCTGGGTGTACTGTCACCAGGCTGTAACCCGAGCGATGGACCTGCCCAAGCAGCCTGGGACCCCGGGCGGGTGCTGGCTCCCGCAAAAGCGCTAGACGCGTTGCCTCTTGTCCGCAGGGCGTGCCTGAGGACCTGCTGTTCTTCTACGACCACCTGCGCAGGGGCGGCGGGGTCGTCCGCGTGGACCAGAGCCTGCTGCTGTATCGCTTCCGGCCTGATGCGGCCACGCACGCCGTCCTGGAGTACGTGGGGCTGGGGCTGGGCCGTGGGCGCTGGGCGGGACCCCCCGGGCTGGCTCCGATGTGGGTTCAAGTGACGGTGACGAGCCACCCAGGCTGGCTGCTGGCGACGGGGTGAAGGTGCGGAAAATGCAGGTAGCGTGAGAAAAAGAAGGGGTGCGTCTTCACTGAGCTGTGCTGCGCCTGTGCGCACATGTCTGTGTGCGTGTGCGTGACTTTTTTTCACACTCACAGGTGTGAGTCCTCACCATCATGATCTCACTTTGGGGGAAGGGAGGAAGGGAGCCGTCAGACAGGCCTGTTGCCAGGGGGTTCCGAATGGAAGGAGCTTGTCGCAGGCACATGCACCCCTGTCTCTGGGCGTCGCGGGGTCTCCTCTTTCCCTGCAAGGTGCGACACTTGTCCGAAGGTTGTGGTTTCTTGACTGGGAGCCTCTCTCCTGGGAGGTCTAATGTCCATTGTCACAGTGGGTATGAGGCCAATTTGTGTGTGACCCCCCCAATTTGTGGGGGTCCCAGATAGCAGCATCCATATAGACTTGGGAGGTCCTCGAACTCTTGCATACGTGCTGTTCAACATGAAAACAGCTTCTTTGTCTTCTGGCTTTAAGCAAAAGACCTTGATTTCTCTTTTCTTGTTAAATCTGAATTGTGATAGGTTTAGCAGAGCACCATTGTTTGGGAATTTGTTGTCATGAACCTGACCCAATGCAGGTGTGATTTGCACACATGGGGACTAGGTCCTCTCGCAGGAGGACATAACGATCTGAAATGTGTATTTTCCAAATCACAGAGTTTCAAAATACATGAAGCCAAAACTGACAGAAATAAAGGGAGAAATAGAGAAATCCACAATGACAGTTGAAGATTTGAACACTCCTATCTCAGTAATTGATAGAAGAAACAGGTGGGAAATCTGTAAGGATGCAGAAGATACGAACAGCTGTATTAACCTGCTGGACCTAATCGACGTTTATGGAACACTGCACTTAGATGCAGAATACGCGTTCTTTTAAAGTGCAACGTAGATGGTAATTTGGACCAATAAAAAAATCTGAATAAAATTCAAATAATTGCAGTCATACAGGATATATTTTATGTCCACACAAAATTAAATTAGAAATTATTAAGCCATCTTGAAAATCCAAAATATTTGAAAATTAACAACCAAGGGGGAAAAAAATCACAAAGGACATTCGAAAAATTACAGTTTGGTGAAAATTTAAATGATTATGTCAACATTTGTGGAATTTAGCTAAAGCAGAGTTTATAGTAAAATTTTATGGCTTTAAAGCTTATATTATAAAACAAGAAACTAAGCAATTACCTAAGTCTCCATCTTTAAGTTACTAGAGTAATGGCAAGGTAAACTCAAAGTAAATAGAAGAAAAGAAATGAACAACAGAAGATGATGAAATTGAAAATGGACAGTCAATACAAAAAAATCAGCCAAACTAAGAACTGATGGTTTGAAAAAAAAAATAATTAATAAACCTCTAGCAAGATTGAGTTTTAAGAGAAAATATTGATTACCAATATATTTGGAATGAAAGAGGGAACATCACTACAGATCCATCAGATATTTACAGTATAAATAACTAAAAATTAGATTTATAATTCTAAAACTTTCCATAAAGAGAAGCCAAGCCAGATGGCTTTACTGTTGTAGTCTATCAAAGATTTAAGGAAAAAGTAATACCAATCTTACATAAATTCTTTCAGAAAATAGAAGAGGAGAAAGATCTGTTGGGTGTTGGGAGGGATTTCTCACTCACCCCACAAGACCGGCGTGACTCCAACACCAAAAAAGCTACAAGAGCATCACAAGAAAGTGAAATGACAGCCCAGCATCCCTTATGAAATAGATGCAAAAATCAGTCACAAAGTATTACCAAGCCAAAATCAGAAATACATAGGAGCAGATAATACAAGTCTGGTTTAACATTAAAAAATCAATTAGCATGATTTACTCCGGTAACAGAATAAAGGATAAAAATCCCATGACCAACCCAGTAGATGCAGGAAAGGATTTGACACAATTCCATACCCATTCATGATTTTAAAAAAACCTCACCAAACTAGAAATAGAAACTTTCTCAATCTGGTAATATCTACACAAATCTACAACTAACCTTTTAATTGAAGACTGAAAGCTTTCCCTCCTAAGATCAGGAGACAGCAAGGCCTCACTACTTCTATTCTACATTGTAGTGAAGGTCAGTGTGATACAAGAAAAATCATTAGGAAGTGGAAGTAAAACTCATCATTTCTGGATGGCATGATTGTGCTTCCTAGGGAATCAGAACCAGTAATTTAGCAAGTTTTCCAGGACCCAAGTTCAAGATACATACACAAACACACACACACACACACGTAGGTAGATATATACTATCAATGAACAATTAAAAATGCAGTTTAAAAAACGTACAATCGCATCAAAACTAAATTGTTAAGGGGTAAATCTAGCAAGGTATGCATATCTAAAAAACATAAGATTGCTAAGGGGAGTTAACGAAAAGCCTATAATTTGACGGCGAGACATACCACTTTCATGGATTGGAAGACTCCATATTGTTAACATCAGGTTTCTGCAGATTGTAGATTCGTGAATCCCAGTAACAGTCCTAGCTGGCTTCTTTGTAGATACTGATAATCTGATTCTGAAATACACAGGGGAACTCAAGGCCCAAACAACCTTGAACTGAACAAAATTTGAGGACACACAACCTAACTTTAAGACTTACTCTGAAGCTACAACAATTAGGAAAATGTAGTGATAGCATACAGGTAGACAAACCGATCAATGAAACAATAGAGAATCCAGAAATAGACTCACAATTATATAATCAATTGATTTTCATGGAAGACTCCAAAGACATTCAATGGGAAAAGGAAAATATTTTCAACAAATGGAAAAACTGCATTTTCATATGGAAAGAAAAAGAATCTCACACTACATAGAAAAGTTAATTCTAGATGGATCTCTTAGATAGAAATATAGAGGCAGCTAAAATATAAAGCATCCAGAAGAAAACATCAGGGAGTAGCTTCCCAACTTTGGGATAGGCAGACTTTTAATAGAGAAAACATCAGAATCATTAACCATTTGAAAATTGATAAATTGGACTTCATCAAAATTAAAGACTTTTGCTCATAAAAAGACACCATTAGGAAACTGAGTTGGCAAACCACAAACTGGGAGAAGAAACTCACAAACACCCACCACCCAGGATTAAAAAGGAAACAATAAAAACAGACAAAATACTTCAACGGATACACTTCACAAAGCAATAATGTACAGTCAGTGAGCTAATGGGAAAGTGCCCGTTCCCCTCAGAGAAAAGCAGGTTTGACCCGCAGCACACCCACTAGTAGGTGAAAATGAGCACATGACAATTCCAAGTGGTGACAAGGCTGAGGGGCCACCGGAGCCTCACGTGCTCCCCCAGGCGTCGAAGTTGGAAATCTGGTTGGCATTTTCTTATGCATTAAGTTGCTATCTGCCCTGTAACCCAGCAACTGCATGTCTCCGTATTTATTCGAGAGAAATTGAAAACATTGCTTGAGTGTTATTAACAATAAGAACTGGGAACAGCCCAGATGTCCATCAGCAATGAATGGGGACAAGGACATTATATGGTAACAGAATGCTCAGCTTGGAAAGAAAAAATGCTGACTCGCGCAAGACCTGTGGCTGGTAAGAAGCCAGACAGAATCACGCATCCTGAGGCTGCTGCTTACACGAGGTTCTCCAGCAGGTGGAACTTGGTGGTTTTCTCGGGAAGGGGGCACATGGGGACTTCCTGGGGTGATGGAAATGCTGTACAGCTCGTGAAGTGTGGGTCACGTGGGTAGATGTTCGTCGTAACCCCCTGACTTGCACATACACTTCAGATCCATGCACTTCGCCGTGTAAATTACACCTTCTTTAAAACTTAACACACTGGACACATGTCTCTTCAGGGAAGGCACCCCATAAATGGACTTGGAAATGGGGTGAGGAAAGCCCTGAGGTGCTTTTCTGGGCGCGAGTCGGGAGTCATCCGTCTCATCCTGAAGCTTTGCGCGCGGACGGCGGGTGGCGGCCCGTGGTGTGGGAGGCACCGGGCAGCAGGCCCGAGGCTGCTCCTCGTCCTGTTTGCGTGGGGTGCCTGTCTTCGAGGTTGAGGTCTCTTCCCTGTTTGCAGCATGAGGCTTTGCCACCCACAGCTCGAAAGCAGTGACCTCATGGCAGCTCGCGTCAGATTAAAGTCCTTGAGCTCTGAGTGGGAAGCCCTCCGAGCAGCGGGCTTGTCGGAGCTGAACCCCTTCAGACTCTCTCCCCACGGCCCTCCATTTGGTTCTTGTCCTTGTAATTTTAAGTGAAGAATGGTCAGCACTGATGTCATGGAGGAGTTTTCCCTGAAATACTTCAGACATCTGAAAGGCGTAACGGAGGAATGTCTGTGAAGGAAGACGTTTCCCCCCGAACGCCTGCTGTCCCCACGCAGCCCAGGTCAGCACAGTCTGTCCTGAGCCTGGTGGTCAGCGCTCCCTCCATTTCTTCACGCTTTTTTACTACGCGCAATGTCTCTGTGAACAGCACCCTTCACCTCTTTAAACATGTTCCACAAATGGCAGTATCCTGCTGCTTCCTGAGCGTGGCGTTTTCACTTACCTGGAGCTGAGCTCTCCCCGCTGAGCTCTCCCCGTGCTGCGAGTCCCCGCAGGGGCACAGCGGGTCGGCGCGTCCTGTGGCCCCGCTGCCTGCAGGGCAGGGACATGTGTGTGACACTGCCACTGCTGCCAGAAAGTTTGGAGATTCCAGCCTGGCTTGGGGGAAGCCTGCAGGCTGGTGCCTGTCAGCCCATCTGGACACCCCGAACCGGCAGACGCCGCCCGGTGCCCCCGCCCACTCTCTCCTTGAAAGGAGAAGCGTTAGAAGTGACTGTCCCTGAGGCGGCCTGTTTCGTCCTCTCAGATTTGTTTGCTGACCTTACAGCATGAAGCTTACTGTTCTTTTCTTAGAAACGTCTTTCCTTTCCTTGGCTATTGGTGAAGCTGCGTGTTTTGTGGTGTTTCTTTGGCTTGGAGTGTGTGAGCTTGTGTGTTTCTTTCCCAAATGAGGTGCCATGTGGCCGGGCTTAGGGAGTCAGCCCCTTCAGGGCCCCAGTAACGCCTCCCACATCACGGCCACCAGCACAACTCTAATCGAAATGTCCAGTTTAAAATGGCAGGTGGGCAGACAACAGTCAGAACCTGCCTGACAGAAAGGCTGCGCCGCCCTGCGAGAGCTGGACCGCATGCACCCAGCCAGGTCCAGACCCCCCCACCGCTGCTCCCTGGCGGTGCCGGCGGGGCATTCGGAAGGTGGGGCAGCAGTGGCCTCTGCGCCTGGCCTGAGGACGTGCCCTGGGGACACAGCTGCCTGTGACACAGATACAGGAAGGGCTGGGAGGTGAGCTTCCAGGTGTAACTCTGTGATGTCATCAAGTGCGGTGCAGCCCTCTCTCACCACAGATTTCTCAGGGAAGGAAGACGCAGTTCAGGTTTGGTCCACTGTGTGTCCACAGAACCCCCTCAACCTTCCAGATTTCTGGGTGGTGGCCTCAGTGTATGACAGGCCCTGGGCCCTTCTCTGCGTCTGGCCATGCTAACCTGGGGACAGCTGAATGTGGCGGGCTGGGGCAGCGCAGACCACCCTGGCCGGGCCTGGGCCTCCGTGTCTGTGTGCAGCAGGGGCCGCTGGAGGGGTCCCGCCTAGAGAGACAACCTGGCCATCTGGGCAGCTTCCAGGGGACATGGAGCCACGTGGTGGCTTGAGGGGTGTGCCCAGTCCCCTCTGCTCCTGTGTACTACGGAGGCAGGTGCCCAGTGCTAGGATGGCCACGACTCCTGGGGCTCCCCAGGGCCTGTGCCTGGTGTCTGCCGCGCTTCCTGAGCCTGTGGACATGAAGACAGTGCGTCCAAGGGTCCCTGTGGGACGTGAGGATGGACAAGGCAGTGGAGCCCTGGCCGTGCTGTTCTGGGTTCATTGGCCCATTCAGCCCAACAGCTGCTGAGTGTTGGGGATGGATGCAGCCCGCTGGCGCCAAGGTGACGCCAGGACCAGAGGACGTGGACCGGGACGCGCTGGGCTGGGCTGGGCAGAGGGCCGGGGGAGGGGCAGGAGGTCCCGCCCCGCCAGCTCACGCCCTCCCCCCCAGGAGCACCATCTGGACCCACCGCGTCTGCTTCCTGGAAGAGCGGGCCCTGCGGCACTGGACCACCTTCACCATCTGGAACGCGGGCCGGCAGGGTCGCCGCCTCTACCGCAGCCTGTCAGAGGGGGCGCGGCGTAA